GTCTAGAACTCCTGACCTCAGGTGATCTGCTCCCCTTGGCCTCCCAAAGTGCTGGGATTACAGGTGTGAGTCATTGCACCCGGCCCCTTTTCATTATTCTTGATTTTGTCTTCTTTTTCTTAAACAGGATCCCACATCTTAAAAGCTTCATGCCCCACCTAGCCTAACTCCACCCTTACTTTGTCCTCTCAGAGCCTCAGTTTCCCCAGGTGTGTGCCAGGCAGTGTGGTGTCTGTCGTGGTGTCTGTCAGTGCCTGCCATGTGGGCGTGGGGCTTGGTAGGTGCTGCTGCTGCTGCCAAAGCTGGAAGAGCCCCCACAAGGGCACAGAGCTGTTCCCTGGATCCCTGGACCTGGTGGGCTGTTTCCAACTCAACAAGGCAGCCAATTCCCCTGTGACTCTTGGGAAGGCAGGGACCGGGGGGTCCCCAGCAGCCTCAGGAGCATGCAGCTTGTTCAGGCAAGGAGGGTGGGGACTCTCTGGGGCAGTTTGTGCCAAAACTTCGAGCTATGAAGAGAAGGTCAAAGGTGAAGCCTTGAGGTCTCCATTCTGGGCTTGCCTGCCCGAGGTCACCAGGGCCACACTGGGGCTGTGCCTGCATGCTGGGAGCAGAGTGCACAGTGACACAGGTCGGCACTGGGAGGTGCCCGTGCGGATGGGACGGTGCTAGGGGTGGGGTGGGGATCTGGGCTTCTGGGTAGCACCTGATGTGGTCTGGGTCACAGACGTGGCCTGTGCTTCCCTCTAAGCTGCTGAAAAGCTCAGAAACGTGCAGCAGGAGCTGAAGCTCAGACCTGGGTTCTGACTGCACGTGGGAGCGGGGCACCATGATGGGAGCTCTGGCTGCATGGATCCACTTCCTGGGTTTAAAAACGGCTCTTCGCCTGCCAGCTGTGTGCCTGGGGCAAGTCCTTCTTTGCCTCTCTGAGCTTTGGTTTCCCTGTGTGTGTAGAGATGACTCATAGGCCTACCCCATGGAGTGATGGGAAGATCCAGTGTGGTAATTTACTTGGAGGGCTGTCGTTTCTTTGCACCCCTGCCACCGAGGTATGGGGGTGAAGTCCCCTCCTCCTGAGCCTGGGCAGGTGCTCCCGGCGGGAGTGGTGAACAGAAGTAGAAGGGGTGCTTTGTGACTCTGGAAGCCAGCGAAGAAAAGGACAGCAAGATTGCCTGGCAGCCGGGCGCAGCGGCTTATGCCTGTAATCCCAGCACTTTGGGAAGCTGGGTCGAGTGGATCGCCTGAGGTCAGGAGTTCAAGACCAGCCTGACCAACATGGAGAAAACTTGTCTCTACTAAAAATACAAAATTATCTGGGTGGTAGCACATGCCAGTAATCCCAGGTTCTTGGGAGGCTGAGGCAGGAGAATGGCTTGAACTCGGGAGGCGGAGGTTGCAGTGAGCTGAGATCGCGCCATTGCACCCCAGCTGAGCAACAAGAATGAAACTCAGTCTCAAAAAAAAAAAAAAAAAAAAAAAAGACCACCTGGTTCTCTCTTGAAATTCTCCCTTGGAGACCTGAGCACCGCATAGAAGCCAGCTGGGTCCCCAGGGAGCAACCATGGGTGGGCTGCCTGGAGGTTCCCTGCCGAGTCAGTCCCACAGCAGGGCCTCGACCAGTCTGCAACCAGGAGAGACGATGGGGATGAAGTGACTGTGGTCCTTCCTGCCCAAGTTCAGGACAGTGTGTTCCTCAGCTGAAGGAAACCAGGAAAGCGGCCCAGAAGCTGCAGGTAAGCCCATCGCGGGGTGAGGACTGCTGAGCCCTGGGGTGGGTGGTAGAGCTGGGATTCAAGGCCAAGGCCATCTGCCCTTAAGCCTGCAGCCACCACAGCCCCATCCTGCCCTGCACAGTCCTGCACTCAGGAGTTAGACTCAATCACACTTCTAGCGTTTTCCATCACAAGGTGGTCATTCTAACGTTTCATGGATCCCCACAGGGTAATAGCTGTCTCTGGGAGGCAGGTGACGGAAAGCACCCGCAGCAACAAAAAGCCACTTGAACCTCAGTGATGGTGTGGTGGACTGCATTTTGTGATGAGCAGCAGCAGCCTCTTCAGGGCCACAGCAGTCGTGGGTGTGTTAGTGCCGGCCACAGCTGCTGCTTGAACCCAGCTGCACATTCAACCAAGGACCAGACACGCTCCTTATTCCGTTACACTGTGAGAATGCTGCTCTAGTGTGGATTTTTTTTTTTTTTTTTTTTTTTTTTTTTTTTTTTTGAGACAAGAGTCTTGAGCTGTCGCCCAGGCTGGAGTGCATGGTCGTGATCTCGGCTCACTGCAACCTCCGTCTCCTGGATTCAAGTGATTCTCCTGCCTCAACCTCCCAAGTAGCTGGGATTACAGGCATTTGCCACCACACCCAGCTAATTTTTATTTTTAGTAGAGACAGGGTTTTGCCATGTTGGCCAGGCTGCTCTAGAACTCCTGACTGCAGGTGATCTGCCTGCCTCTGCCTCCCAAAGTGCTGGGATCACAGGCGTGAGCCACCGCACCGAGCTACTGTGGATGTTTAACATCTCCATTTCACAGGCAAGGAAGCTGAGGCTCAGAGGTGCACAGCTCTGCAGTGGTGGGTCAGGGCTCTGGACCCGGGAGGCCAACTGTGGGGCTCTCAGACAGACTGCTGTGGGAGAAGCTCCCAGAAGTCCTACGCTAGGAACCGCTAGACAAGAGAATTGTTCAAGTCTCTTCCCATTCCCTGACACATGAAGCAAAGACCCTTGCCCCCAACACTGGGTCTTTTATCTCCGAAGGTTTTTTTTTTTTTGAGATGAGTCTTTCTGTGTCACCCAGGCTGTAGTGCAGTGGTGCAGTCTTGGCTCACTGCAACTTCTGTCTCCAAGATTCAAGCAATTCTTCTGCCTCAGCCTCCCAGGTAGCTGGTAGTACACGCATTCGCCACCACACCCGGCTCAATTTTATATTTTTAGTAGAGACGGGCTTTCAGCATGTTGGTCAGGCTGCTCTGGAATCCCTGACCTAATGTGATTCGCCTGCCTTGGCCTCCAAAGTGCTGGGGTTACAGGCAGGAGCCACTATGCCTAACCTCTTAAGGTCTTTTTAACTCTCAAGAGTCTAACTTGGCCAGGCGCGGTGGCTCATGCCTGTAATCCCAGCACTTTGGGAGGCCAAGGTGGGTGGATCACTTGAGGTCTGGAGTTTGAGACCAGCCTGTCCAATATAGTGAAACCCCATCTCTACTAAAAATACAAAAATTAGCTGGGCATGGTGGTGGGCCCCTGTAATCCCAGCTACTCTGAAAGTTGAGCCAGGATAATTGTTTGAACCTGGGAGGCGGAGGTTGCAGTGAGCTGAGATTGCACCACTGCACTCCAACCTGGGTGACAGAGTGAGACCCGCTCTCAAAAAAAAAAAAAAAAAAAAAAAAGAGTCTAACTCTGCATTTTTAGGTGCAGAGCCTGGAGATCAGCATCAGGACCCGATCCGAGACCCTGGCAGCACTTCCTCCCCTCCCCCGGCAGCATTCCTCCCCTGTGGTTTGCCTAGAGAATTCTGACTTACCCCATGGGGAAGAAAAGCTCCAGAACCTTCTAGGGGAGGAACACAGCCCTTGGGTAAAGAGTCCTTCACAGCCAGCTCTTTTCTTTCCGTCCCACCTGGTGTGGGAGGTGGATGCTGGCTGGGAAAACATCCCGCGGCCCAGGTTTCCTCTGGCTGGGGAGCAGCGTGCAGGAAGAGGGTGAGGCGTCAGCGCTCTCAGAACCACGGCTTTGTGGAGTTCCTGAGCAGGCAGACAGGGCGGCAGGGGGTGATCTGGTCCCGGTCCCAGGAGGCCGCCCTGAAGCCAGCATCAAGGTGAGGGCCATGCACAGATCAAACGGCCCCTTGAACCTCGAGGAAGGGCTGGTCCCCGCTCCATCTGGACCAGCCTGCACCATTGTTAGCACAGGTTGAAGCCTCATCCGTCCCCACATCTGAGGCTCTCACGGACTCCTTCTGCCCTGGAATTCTTTTGTTTGCTGCTGAATAAATAAACTACATTTCTTTGGAATTTCCCCTTTTCCCTCAAAGCCTTTTCTTTAGCTGATCTTGGAGAAAGGTGGCCTTCTTGTTCTTTCCATCTTTTCAAGCTGTGTTTGATGCAGGGAAGCACAGAGACCTGGGCGATTTGAGCAGCGTCCTCTCTGCCCTTGGGCTTAGGCACGGACAGGGACTGTTTTTAGGGCCTTTTTTTAGCTCCTTCCCAAGGAGCGTGCTGGGTGGCACATGGGTCAGCACTCTTAAATGTTGTTTGCCATTTGTTTCAATCTGTTTTGAAACGAACTTTATCATTAGTGAATATCATCACCCAGGACAAGGCTAACAATTTTTTCAGCTAATCAATTTAAAGAAAAATATTAAGTAGGCTGGATGCGGGGGTTCATGTCTATAATCCCAGCACTTCGGGAGGCCAAGGTGGGAGGATCACCTCAGGTGAGCAGTTTGAGACCAGCTTGGCCAACACGGTGAAACCCCGTCTTTACTAAAAATACAAAAATTAGCCAGGTGTGGTGGCGCATGCCTGTAATCCCAGCTATGCAGGAGGCTGAGGCAGGAGAACTGCGTGAACCCAGGAGGTAGAGGTTGCAGTGAGCCAAGATCGTGCCATTGCACTCCAGTCTGGGTGACAGAGGGAGATGCCTCAAAAAAAAAAAAAAAAAAGAAAAAGAAAAATACTAAGTAGTGAGTAGTCCCATTGGCAGGCAGATATGTCAAATATCTTCAGAATGCTGGCTGCATGGCTGAATTTTGGGAACTTCCATCAAGCCCAACACCTGTATTTTACGGAGGAGGAAGCAGGGTCCCAGAGCAGTGGTGACATATTCGAAGTCAGAGAGAGTCAGCTGTGGGCACACGAGCATCAGCTCCGTGGGATCCCATTTCCAGAACTGGAATCACAGCCCCTCTTCAGGGCTCCTTCTATTACGCTTGCAAGTGAATTGCTGCACTAAACAATTTTGCTTGTCAAATTATGCTGATTTCAAATATGCAGCTTACCTTATGTTTTATTTCTGGCAAGATGTCTACCAGCCTCTGCAGCGTCTGATGATGGGCCCCGAGCTGCATGGCAGACACGAGGTGTTAGATGAAAAGGCAGTGGGTGGGTGGCAAGCTCGCTCCACTGTCAATATACTGCATTTTAGAAGCCATCCTAGGCCACGTGCGGTGGCTCATGCCTGTGATCCTAGCACTTTGGGAGGTCGAGGTGGGCACATCATCTAAGGTCAGGAGTTAGAGACCACCCTGGCCAACATGATGAAACCCAGTCTCAACTAAAAATACAAAAATGAGCTGCGTGTGGTGGCGCGCTCCTATGGTCCCAGCTACTAGGGAGGTTGAGGCAGGAGAATCACTTGAACCCAGGACGTGGAGGTTGCAATGAGCTGAGACCGCACCACTACACTCCAGCCTGTGTGACAGAGCGAGACCCTGTCTCAAAAAAAGAAAAGAAAAAAACCCAATAGCAATCCTAATGATGGGTCACCATGTTTTACATTAGGCAATCTACACCCCCAGCAAGCGATTACCTTTAAAAACACGCCTATCACGGCCAAGCCATTCTCTCCCATGACAGCTTCCTTGTAATTTTGGTATTTCACAGAATTCCAGTGAACTAAATGCAGCTGAAACATAGTGGAAAGAGAATTTAAACTGATCAGCAAGAAATAAGACAGCCACTTCCCCTTCTGAATAGCTGGCCTATGTGTCCATTTGATGATGATCATGAATAATGCTGCTGCAGCCAGATGTGTAAGAGCTCAGCTCCACCAGCACTCCAAGCTCCCAGACACTTGACGGAGCCCCAGGAAGGGAGAGCCTCCGTCTTCCTGATGGGGGAAAAGGAGAGGATTGTCTTAACCTCATCTTATAGAAATGGGTGGCTTCATTATTTTCCACCTCCTAGTTATCCTTGGACAAGAATTACCAGATAAAATTCAGGCCTTGGCCAGGCGTGGTGGCTCCAAGCTCACAAGGATGGGCACAGCAAACCCTTGGGCTTCTTCCATAATCCACCCTGCAGGGATTCTGGGACCAGGGGCCCTGTGCAGGGCACTGGGGCCAGTGAAAGCCACACAGCTCCTCCCCGCCAGCAGGCTACATGCTCCCGGGTGCATCTGGGTCGGTGAGTGTGGGCGTGGGTGCATCTGGGTCAGTGAAGGTGGGTGTGGGCGCATCTGGGTCAGTGAAGGTGGGCGTGGGCTCTTCCTGCCCACCTATGGCTCACCTGGAATGCCACACCTGAGGCCCCACTGTAGACCCCACCTCCCCATTCCCCCACCCCCGCCTCCAGGAAACTGCACACTGCAGCATGGGCCAGATACTCGGCCAGGGTGGGGGTTCCCAGCCCCTGCTCAGCCCCAGTCAGGGAGGTCCCTGGGGACCCAAGCTCACTGGTCTCTTTAGGAGTAAATTGCAACAATCTTCTTCCTTTAAAAATATCTGTTCATCAAAAACAAAGTTGCTGATAGAGGTACTAAAACTATGTTGTTAGATGAACAGAGGCACACAGAAGCCTGCTGTCTATTTATACATACATGCAAAATTATAACAATAGATCTCACTGGCTATTTATAAAGTGTCCCAAGGTCACCTCTGGGCGTGCGATTACAGTTTTCATTTTTTGGTTTGGGTGGACTCTAGCTCCGTATTAACTGCAGCTTTACTTTCATAACAACAACAACGAAAAGTTCAAACAACAGAAATGGTCCTCAACTTGAGAAAAAAGGATCAAAAAGTCAGGTGGGTGGGTGGCTGGGCAGAGGTGTGATAAAGTGAAGATGGCAAAACGATCCACACAGGACTGAGATGGCAAACTTGTGGGTTCCTCTCACACACTTTTTTTTTTTGAGACAGAGTCTCACTCTGTCATCTCGGCTCACTGCAGTCTCTGCCTCCCGAATTCATTTGATTCTCCTGCCTCAGCCTCCAAACTAGCTGCGATTACAGGTGCCTGCCACTAGGCCTGGATAATTTTTGTATTTTTAGTAGAGATGGGGTTTTTCCATGTTGGTCAGGGTGGTATCGAAATCTTGACCTCAGGTGATCCACCCGCCTCGGCCTCCCAAAGTGCTGGGATGACAGGCGTGAGCCACCGCACCTGGTTCTCAGATACTGCTTTCCATTTTTTTGTAACTTGCAAACACTTTATCATAGAATACATGGGGAAATCTATAAGGCATCACGTATCTCCCAAAGCGACCACGAAAACCAGGTCCCAACATTGATCTGCACTCCTTTTCCTTATTGACTCCCACTTTGGAATGCTGAAAATAAGACTACTTTAAGATGATCTCTTTATCACACCTCTGCTCATGCCTGTGATCCCAGCACTTTGGGAGGCCGAGGCGAGCCGAACACGTGAGGTCAGGAGTTGGAGACCAGCCTGGCCAACACGGTGAAACCCCGTCTCTACTAAAAGTACAAAAATTAGCTGGGCATGGTGGTGCATGCCTGGAATCCCAGCTACTCGGGAGGCTGAGGCAGGAGGCAGAGGTTGTGACGAGCCGAGATCGTACCTCTGCACTCCAGTCTGGGGGACAGAGTAAACCCTGTCTCAGAACAAACAAACAAACACATAAAAGAGAAGATAATTTCTATTGCAAAGATGTTCAGCTTCTCAGCAGAGGGCCTTGTGAGTCTGCTAGTCCCTACTGCTGCAAGCACACAGCCGAGTGAAGGCCAAGAAGACCTCACACTCTGACCTTCAATCCCAGCTGTCTGGCCTTGGTAAGTTCCGTAACCACTCAGAACCTCAGTCTTGGCCGGGCGCGGTGGCTCACGCCTATAATCCCAGCACTTTGGGAGGCTGAGGCGGGTGGATCACCAGGTCAAGAGATGGAGACCCCATCTGGGTCAACAAGGTGAAACCCCGTCTCTACTAAAAATACAAAAAAAAATTAGCCGGGCGTGGTGGCGCGTGCCTGTAATCCCAGCTACTCGGGAGGCTGAGGCAGGAGAATTGCTTGAACCCAGGAGGCAGAGGTTGCGGTGAGCCGAGACCGTGCCATTGCACTCCAGCCTGGGTAACAAGAGCGAAACTCCGTCTAAAAAAAAAAGAACCTCAGTCTCCTCTTCCATTAAATGAGAGTGCTCACAGTGCCTTCTTTGGAGGAGAGGCGTGTGACTAAATAGGTGAGGTGGCCTGCTGTTCTGCTTTGAGCACTGACAGTCCCAGGTCCCAGGAAATCCTTTGCATCTGAGCAGCTGGGATGGCTTGTTCACCCCCCACTACAGAGCTGGAGACAGAGAGAGAGTCCAGATTTAGGACCACGTTAGGCCACGTCTACAAACCTCTGCGGGGTACGCACGGTCGTCCACTGCATGCTCTGAGCCCCACTCGTTCGCTGCTCCCCAGTGGAAGTGAAATTGCTTCAGTCTGTAGTGGTTTTCCAAGGGCCCACCACTGATTCCTGGAAGTGAAAGCAGCAAGAAGTGTGTGTCGTTTTGTCGGCCAAGCTGTGGTGTTACTGGAGGCATTGTCTACATTTAGGTCCTCTGAGTTCATTCATAAGGGGTTGCTATATGGTGGAAGTGACAAGCCAAAGGTGGGCTCGCACTAAACGCAGAATGAATGCAGGGTCCCAGTGCTGCCACTGGGTGGGGCGGTAAGGGCCTCAACTCCCTGTGGGTAGAAATTGGTAAAGAACGTTTCTGATACGCCCACCTGTCCTATAGGATTTCCAGACTTTGTTATTATTTTTTTAACCTTTCTGCATGTCTGACCCTCCACACCATCCAGACTTTAATTAAAGAAAAAGACGTCTGGCTGGGCACAGTGGCTGACGCCTGTAATCCCAGCACTTTGGGAGGCCAAGGTGAGTGGATCACGAGGTCAGGAGTTTGAGACCAGCCCGACTAACATGGTGAAACCCAGTCTCTACTAAAAATACAAAAATTAGCCAGGTGTGGTGGTAGATGCCCATAATCCTAGTTACTAAGGAGGCTGAGACAGGAGAATCGCTTGATCCCGGGGGGCAGTGGTTGCAGTGAGCCGAGATAGCACCACCGCACTCCAGCCTGGGCGACAGAGTAAGACTGTCTCAAAACAAAACAAAAACAAGAAGATGTCTTCCAAATATTTTTAAAAAGCAGCTTAAATCCTATCACCAAATAATGTTACAAAATAACACACGAGTGAGGTTTTTATTTTGTTTTATTTTCTTTTGAGGTGGAGTCTCACTGTATTGCTCAGGTTGGAGTGCAATGGAGCGATCTTGGTTCACCACAACCTCCACCTCCCAGGTTCAAAAGATTCTCCTGTCTCAGCCTCCAAAGTAGCTGGGATTATAGGTATGCGCCGCCAGGCCCAGGTAGTTTTTATACTTTTAGTAGACATGGGGTTTCACCATGTTGGTCAGGCTGGTCTGGAACTCACGACCTCAGGTGATCCACCCTCCTTGGCCTCCCAAAGTGCTGGGATTACACCACGGAACCCGAGTGAGCAAGGTTTTTAAACAAGCAGACTCTGAGATAGCATCAGTCCTGATCTCTGGCAGCCCCTGCTTCATCTAGGCCCACCTCAGGACCCGCTTTGATTGGAACACTCCTTTCTTTTCATTTGTTTGCTTTTTTTTTTTTTTTTTTTTTGAGACGGAGTTTCGCCCTTGTTACCCAGGCTGGAGTGCAATGGCGCGATCTCGGCTCACCGCAACCTCCGCCTCCTGGGCTCAGGCAATTCTCCTGCCTCAGCCTCCTGAGTAGCTGGGATTACAGGCACGTGCCACCATGCCCAGCTAATTTTTTGCACTTTTAGTAGAGACGGGGTTTCACCATGTTGACCAGGATGGTCTCGATCTCTCGACCTCGTGATCCACCCGCCTCGGCCTCCCAAAGTGCTGGGATTACAGGCTTGAGCCACCGCGCCCGGCTTGTTTGCTTTTTTTGAGACAGAGTCTCACATTGTCTCCCAGGCTGGAGTGCAGGGGTGTGATCTCAGCTCACTGCAACCTCTGCTTCGCGGGCTCATGACCTTTTCCTCCCTCAGCCTCCTGACTAGCTGGGATTACAGGTGTGCGCCACCACGCCCAGCTAATTTTTTGTACTTTTAGTAGAGATGGGGTTTCACCATGTTGGTCAGGCTGGTCTTAAACTCCTGACCTTGTGATCTGCCCGCCTCAGCCTCCCCAAGTGCTAGGATTACAGGCGTGAGCCACCATGCCCAGCCCACTCCTTTCTTTCTTTCTTCGAGACAGATTTTCACTCTTATTACCCAGGCTGGAGTGCAACAGCATGATCTTGGCTCACCGCAACCTCCACCACCCGGGTTCAAGTGATCCTCCTGCCTCAGCCTCCCGAGGAGCTGGGATTACAGGCATGTGCCATCACACCTGGCTGATTTTGTATTTTTAGTAGAGACAGGGTTTCTCCATGCTGGTCAGGCTGGTCTTGAACTCCTGCCTCGGCTTTCCAAAGTGCTGGTGATTATAGGCGTGAGCCACCGTGTCTGGCCAGAACACTCCTTTCCTTCTAAGTCACCCTAAACCCTACCTGAGAGTGAGCACTCTCCACCTGCAAGCCTCTCCATGGCATGGTGCCAGGTGCAGCCTTCCGGGCATTGGCTTTGCCTGACATGCGGGCCTCAGCCATGAGCACTGCTCCCCGAGGCCTCTGTCTGCACTGCACTCATGGCTGCCATCTGCAGCCCCAGGTAGGGCTGGGAGTCCGCCTTTTAACAGCTCCCCAGGGGTTGTGATGTGGGGGCCTCTCCTGTCTCGGAGCAGATTTCCATCAACAACTGCTGCAAATGTGGCACCTGTCCCACATGTTGTTTTCATTGAAAGAAACAAAGTATGCTCGTGGCTGGGCAAGGCTGGAAGGCACCGGCAGAGCTGGAGCCTGACCACCAATTCGGGGTGGCCCGAGTGCCTCCCACAGCTGTGGAGGAGCCTCGTGTCACCTGCCTTACTCACTTCACCCCCCGCTGTGGCAAAAGCCAGGAAAGTAGTGAGTGTGTGAGGGGTGCCTTGAGAGCTTGACGCTGCTGGCTCCTGGTTTCCCCGACCTCAAAAGTACTCGTAGCTGGGCTGAGTGCCGTGGCTCACGCCGGTAATCCCAGCACTTAGGGAGGCCAAGGTGGGAGGATCACTTGAGGTCAAGAGTTCCAGACTAGCCTGGCCAACATGTGAAACCCCGTCTCTACTAAAAATACAAAAATTAGCTGGGTGCGGTGACAGGCACCTGTAGTCCCAGCTACTCGGGGGGCTGAGGCAGGAGAATCGCTTGAAGTTGGGAGGCGGAGGTTGAGGTGAGCTGAGATGGCACCACTGTACTCCAGCCTGGGCAACACAGCAAGACTCAGTTTCAAAAACAAAACAAAACAAAACAAAACAAAACATACTTGAGGCTGGAGGCACCTGGGTGTAAACTAGAAAGTGAAAAATGGATTCGGCTCTGGTCTGGCCAGGGGTAAGGCAAGTGCTGGAGAAGCCACAGGGCTGCTGACGTCCCCTCTTCACTCAAAAGCAAGCTCAGTGTTGGTCTGCAGCACCCTCTGAGCTGCATCTAGTTTCAAATTCTACCATTATGAGCTAGTCTTCTCTTCTCCTTAAATATACACAGATGAATTATATCTCAATTTCATAACAAGACACAGAAAGAGTCCTTCCCCCAACAAGCACATAAAATCACTTTGTTAGGCCAGGTGCGGTGGTCACCCTTGTCATCCCAGCACTTTGGAGGCCAAGGCGGATGTATCACTTGACGTCAGCAGTTCAAACCCAGCCTGGCCAAAATGGTAAAACCTCGTATCTACTAAAAATACAAAAAATTAGTCTGGCGTCGTGGCGGGTGCCTGTAATCTCAGCTACTCGGGAGAATGAGGCAGGAGAATTGCTTGAACCTGGGAGGTGGAGGTTGCGGTGAGGTGAGATTGTGCCACTGCACTCCAGCCTGGATATAGCGCAAGATTCTGTCTCAAAAAAAAAAAAAAAAAAAAAAAAAAAAATCACTTTGTTGCTAACAATCTTATTCTACAGTGGCCCACAGTGCTGTGAGCAAGACAGAGCCCCTACAGATGGGGAAGCCGAGGCACGAGGAAAACCTCCCCACGGGGTCATATCGTAAGACTTTCACGGTGATTTTCTAACTCTAAAATTACAAGAGGGATGAGTTTTTCTCCTTTGAGAGGGAAGAGTATGCGAGCCAACTGGCCTTTGTGGTCTTGTGTTGTATTTTAACTTACTGGGAGAGGTGAAGCAGTGTGCCCGCAGTCCCTGACGTATGCCGATGGGAACCAGGTTCGAATCCAGGTTTGACACCAAAACTCATACCTTTTCTGCTCTGTCCTTCAAAGGACAAAACACAATCTTTGTTTTGTTTTGTTTTGTTTTGTTTTGTTTTTTTGTTTTGTTTTTTGAGACAGAGTTTCGCTCTTGTTACCCAGGCTGGAGTGCAATGGCGCGATCTCGGCTCACTGCAACCTCCACCTCCTGGGTTCAGGCAATTCTCCTGCCTCAGCCTCCTGAGTAGCTGGGATTACAGGCACGCGCCACTACGCCCAGCTAGTTTTTTGTATTTTTAGTAGAGACGGGGTTTCACCATGTTGACCAGGATGGTCTCGATCTCTCGACCTTGTGATCCACCCGCCTCAGCCTCCCAAAGTGCTGGGATTACAGGCTTGAGCCACCGCGCCCGGCTCACAATCTTTTTTTTTAGACTGAGTCTCACTCTGTTGCCGAGGCTGGGGTGCAGTGGTGCCATCTTGGCTTACTACAACCTTGGCCTCCCGGGTTCAAGAGATTCTCCTGCCTCAGCCTCTGGGGTAGCTGGGATTGAGACATCTACCACCATGCCCAGCGTTTTTTTTTTTTTTTTTTTGTATTTTTAGTAGAGACCAGATTTCCCCATATTGGCCAGGCTGGTTTCAAACTCCTGACCTCAGGTGATCCACCTGCCTCGGCCTCCCAAAATGCTGGGATTACAGGCATGAACCACCACACCCAGCCTCCAAAACACAATCTAAGGAACTTACAGAACCACAGTATGCAAGCAGGGTGAGCTTTGTGCTGGCTTCCGCCAGCCCCAGGGGCACCGAAGTGCACTGATCGGTGGCTGAGATGGAGCCCGCAGGTGGGTCGCCTCTCGCTCTCGGGATGGGCTCACTCATGATGAGTTTACTGTGTGGAAATTCATGTCTGTGTCATCTCTTCTACAATAGAAACGCCTAGAAAGCAGGGATGATGGATACCTCATGGACAAGTTGGACTGGACCCAGCCTGGTCAGTGCCATTTGTAAGACTCTGAGTCCCATCCGGTTGAACCCAGGACAGAGGCTGTTTCCGTCTGGACCATCACTGTCCACAGGACTTAGTGCAGGAAGGGTCACCAAAGGCACACGGTGAACCCTCACGGGATGAAAGAATACAGGAGTGGATGGGAGAGTACGTTCTCTGATTTGCTCATCGAATCACTC